GAATAGTGTTAATCCTGAGGAAATCTTGGAAGCAAGGTGGATTATTTGTGTCATGGAAATTGACCCTTAAGTCTAGGAGCTTGAGGATAAATGTTCATACTGGGATAAAACACAAGTCTTTGGGTCTGCCTGAGAGGGGAAGTTAGAATAACATATGCACCAAGTCAGGTCTGTAACTGGCTTTGCCCTCAGTGAACTAGAATGACTCTCACTGACTCATGGAGAAAGATAAAAGAAATCTCCCATGAGAACCCAAATCCTCAAACTGTCATGAGCTTGTTGGCCAAATGTATACTACTACATAGTATCAAAAATGCACTAGTGAAAATTAACATAAAAGTCAGTCCCAAGCTAGGATGCACAGGATATCTCAAAAAGTAGTCATTATTTGCTAAAATAGGGAGTACTCTGAAGAATTATATGAAGAACTTCTAAAACATTTTCAATTGTCTTAGTTAAACATGCTATTAAAGAGAACCTTTGAAAAATGGGAAAATAACAATTGACCAGTTTCAATCTGTTTATGAAATGATTATATTAAAATTTTAATACTTAATAAATTGACTTGTGTTAAATGCTTTTAAAGACAAAGTACAATTTATATGAAACAAAGTGGTATATGGAACTAAAGACTATGACATCAAAGCCCACAATGTTTTACTAGCTTCCTGAATTTTATAATCTTCAGGAAGATTCTATATTTTACTAGAAATATAATTAATGCTTGTTTTTTATGATACTAAAGAGAAGTTTCAGAAGGATATTAAATAAATGCAAATAGATAATGAAAAATATAAGGTTTTTTCTCCTACAAGAGAGGAAAGAAAGCAGCCATCTTAAAAGTTTTAACCCAGTTCAATATTTCCATTTTGGGCACAGTGAGAAAATTCAATACAAATTCAGGTTGTCAGCTTTTCTATTGTATACCATTTCTACTGTTTATCCTTCTTAGAATTATGAAATGCTTTGTTATGCAAAATTGAAAACTTATTATAAAAACTAAATAACCATGTTTAATCCCCAAATACTCATCTACCTGTAAAATTTGAGAACATGCTAATTTTATATACTTTCTTCCTATTGTAAAAATATTTTATAAAACATTGACTCAATAAGAGCTATAACAGAAATAGTATTTCTTTTTTTTTTAATTTATTTTTTTGACAGAGAGAGACACAGTGAGGGAGGGAACACAAGTAGGGAGAGTGGGAGAGGGAGAGGCAGGCTTCCCGCAGAGCAGGGAGCCCGATGCGGGGCTTGATCCCAGGACCCTGGGATCATGACCTGAGCCAAGGGCAGACGCTTAATGACTGAGCCACCCAGGGGCTCCCAGAAATAGTATTTCAATGAATGATAGTCTTTAATTGTTCACTGCTTTCTTTTTCCCTAAATTTCAAGTAATATAAGCCAAAAATAGAAATAACCCCAATAAATCCAATTTAAAATAAATTGTAAAAACATCAAAATATAGGTGAGTTATGTGTGAACAACAAATGAAACTCTTATTATAACAATTAGAAGAATTCATATTGTTAAATGTGAAAAGTCCTTGAATTTAGAGTCTAGTTGAGAAATGTGAGAACAGAATGAAGTATTTCAATTATATTCTGGGTTTTCTTTGAATAAAGCCACATGGATACCATTGATAAATTCTTAGTAAAATATCAAGTGGACTAATGACAACCAAGTGGGTAACTGTAGCTATAAAAAAGAGTTTGCTTTAAAACATTTGTTAAAATTTTGAAAATTTTGATATTGTTATATGTACTATAATTATACATTAATGCAATATAACATTTCAGAATTCTCAAGCATCTATTACAACTATATTCTATGCCTTAGAAGTAATAAATATTGGCTAAATCTTGCTTATAATTGCATTCAAACATTATTAAAATTTTCTATGGAAAACAGACTAATATTTAAACACCGATAATTCTTTCAATGTTATTTTAGGTCTCCATTGCTGTTTTCCTTATATTTAAGTGAAATACATAGAAAAAACTCCTAACCTAACAATTTTTGGGGGGAAGGGGATAACAGAAATGTTAATTTTTATATTTTATAAGTACTTATTGTGTATCAAGTTTTTGGTTAAATTATCTTATTTGAAAACTTATGAAGCAGGTAATGCTATGTTCATTTTTGAGTGAGAAAACTGAACCTCAGAGACTTAGCTGAATATTTGCTTACTTTAAACCATATGTAAATAGCCAAGTCAGGACTTGGGTACATTGCCTCTGGAAGTTCTTATGAATTGAGCCAAGTGAAGAAGACACATGGGGGAAGAGGAGAATTTGGGAACAGAAGAAATGCCATTTTAATGTTTATCAGTTGATTGTATAGAGTATACCTGCCTAAGATAATGTCTATGAAAATGTTTCTGACCCTTCTCAGAAGTTAGTCTGTGAGACCACCTTTCTTAAACACATATTCATGAAAATTAATGATTTACCTTTACTGTACATATTATGTTGATTCAGTTAAGATAAAAAAATTAAATAGTTAAAAAAATTAAATAGATAAATAGATTAGGAAGGTATTCAAAGTTAATTAATCAGTATATAAAGTTCAAAATCAGTTACACTGACTTTCAATATGGATGGATAAGCTTCAAGTCACTGCTTGAGTATCCAGAAAGGCTGATTAAATGCCAGACTCCCCACTGAAAACTATATAGGGCCAGACTGATGAATTTACTTTTAACTGCTCATGGTAGGTAGGAGAAAAGGGGCCTTAGAATCTGCTCTTTCAATCATAACATAGGTAACTCTAACACTTACTGAGATTTGAATGCTATAGACCTACGCACAATGCCTCTAATTCCTCAATTGCAGTCCGATTTTGGTCCCTACTCATCTATTGAAGTTGCCATTCAGTGATATCCCAAATGCCAGTCTTAAGTAACATTTTCCTCTAATTTAGTAGGCCCTTTTCCTTGTTTGACATTATTTAATCTTGTGGAAATGGTTAAGTCATTGGCACCTGTAACACTGCGTTATCTTTATTCCCTTTGAATCTTTCTAGCAGTCTCTTCTTTTACCCTGTGAACACTTTCTTACCTTTATTTAGATGTTTGTGCTTCCCAGAGTATCTTCTCACTATATCTACTCCTCTTGATTTATCTCACCTACTTACTTGGATTCGATTATACCAATATACTGATAACTCCCAAATTTAACCTTCACCTCAGATTTCCTTTCCTGGGCTTCGAACACATATTTGCCAACCGCTAGAACTCCTTACCCAGATTTGCTTCACAGACTTCCAACTCAAAATGTCCTGAAAATGAACCAATAATCTTTCTCCTTAAACTAGTTTGACTTGGGATATTTCCATTAAACCTCTTGTACCATTCTTTTCCCAGTCACTCAAGGAGGACATGAGTATTCCTGGACTAGGACTATTTGTCTCTTTCTTTGCCTTACCTCTGATATATTTCTTGGACCAACAACTGTCTTCTCATTTTTATGATCATGGTTCTGATTCAGATTTCTTCAGCCTTCACCTTTAGTATGCAATAGTATCTTATTGTTCTCTCCTGCAATTAAATCCAACCTTTGCAGACTCACCAGAATAACCTACTAATGTATGTATCTATGTCAACCCTTTCTTGAAAAACATCCAGTGGTACCACATTACATACAAGATTGAGCACAAGCTCCTTAATAGAACATAAACACACCATGTTAATCTTTGTTTAATAATTTGGATTTACCTCTAATCTCTCCAACTTCTTCTCTTACCACTCTCTTCCTTGAAATTTTCAGTCCAATAACACAAAACTGTTTGTGGTTGTCCATTCATACCATCCAGTCCTTGTGTGAATGAACTTTATTTTGGCCTTCTTATTCAAATATATCACTGCCTTATCAATTTCTCTAACGATACCAGATATTATGTCAAATTTTATTTGCCAAAATTAAACTCCTAGTTTTACTCCACCTACATCTCCAAAGAACTTTTCTTTCTGTAGTCTGCCCATTTTAGTAAAAGCAAATATATTCTTCTAGTTGCTCAGTGAATCAAGCCCCAAACCTAAACCCTTGACTACTCTTTTTTTCACATATAATGAATCCTCAGCAATTTCTATCAACTTCACAACCATATTTTTACCAGAACCAATACTGTCATTACCACTACCATTCTAATACTAATCATTTCTGTCATTCATGGCTATTTTGAAAATAGCCTCTTAGGCTAGGGGGCATTATTCCTCTTGCTTTCCCTCTGATGCCTGCTTTGTCCTCACACTGTCTTTTCTCTACCAAGTAGTCAGAGAAAACTTTTAAAACATAAATTCACATGTTCTTCTCACCTCTATCACTCTCTCTCTTAACATGCTTTAGTTTTCTTCATAGCACTTATCACCACTTGATATATATTCGTGTATTCCTGGTTTCTTCCCACTATAATGAAAACTACATGAGACCACAGACTTTTTTTTTTTCCACTTAGAACAATGCCTGTTTATTTTGTTGAATAAATGAGTAAATTAATGTAGCTTAGGTGTCTCTTATCTCAGGTAGTTTTCACTGATCAACATGATTGTTTAAGTACCCCTTGCCCATGCCTTCTTTACAATAGAGTACATATCTCCATTTCTTTACTCCATATTGATTGATAGGTTTGGGTAAATCTCTCATTAGATTGATCTTTGAGAATGGGAAACGGCCTCTCTCATCTTTTTAATTTCAGTGCTATCATAGTGCCAATCATCCAACACACATTCAACATACATTGGAATTGGATCGATGGGTGGATGGATTGATGGATGGATGGATAAATATTAAGTATCCTTAAGAAACATTTCAGATCTTCTTATACACATTAAGAATAAAAGTCCTTTGAACATAAAATACTAAATTATATAGGTATCTGAATGAAATATATATGGTCTTGCAAGATATCTGACTCTTAGTAAAGAATTCATTGTTTGAGCTTTGACTGTTAATAAAATAATCTGTATCCTTCAACAATTGAATTTTGTGTATTTTCAGAGATCATCTATAGCTGGGTATTTAATGAGTTCCCTTCCTTTGTGGCGGAGGACAGCCGGCGGTTCATTTCTCAGAAGACAGGCAACCTTTATATTTCTAAAGTCCAATCATCAGATGTTGGCAGCTATATTTGTCTGGTGAAAAACACAGTGACAAACGCTCGAGTACTTAGTCCTCCAACACCACTCACTCTACGTAATGATGGTAAGTTGCATGGCAGGGATTAAAATGGTCAGCCACCTCAACTGTGAAAAATAAAGATGTATTTCTAAACACGTAAGCCTAATACAAATATTTTTTTATTGTCATATTTAAAAGTTCTACACTTTTAGTCTGAGATTATGTATACCTTAGAGTAAAAATGTTGGCATAGGAAAGTGATGATCTTTGGATGAGAAATATTAACCATAATACTATCCTAATGCCAAAGAGAGAGGGAGCATCTGAAAAGACAAATTGTAATAAAGACTCCAGTTCTTTTCTTTTCGTTCTTTAGTGCTCTATATAACATATGTGTATGAATTGCAAGCATTTTATAGGTTCACTTTTCATTACTTTTTTATTTTAGCTACCTTCAAATTGAATGTTCAGCTTTTAATACTTCATGGTACAGTTAAAATTGTTATTATTACTTTTCCAATAATAGAAGCAGTTGGAACTTTAACTTTTAAGTGCAATTCAGGCAGAAACTATGATTTTATAATTATAGGTATTGCCATATATCTACAGTACCTTCAAATTTAAACACCTCATTTGTAGTTATCGACATTTACAGTTAAGCATTGCATTAAAGAAGTCAAGTGCTATATTACCAGTTGATATATGATATGTGGCTTGCTCTGTCATGCAATAAAAAATCCATGAAGGCATTATTAAGAAGTGAGCTTGAGAATCCTGATTGATGTCAAACTTAAAAAATAATCTATTTCAACATTACTTTTTTATATGCTTAGTTTTAGAATATATGCTGCTGCAGTGTATGCTGAGTTTCATCACAAGATTTTTGCTTACTACCCAGTTTCTCATTTGTATATTTGACATATATATATGCACACATATATAATATATATCCTATCTGGTAGAGAGTACACATAAAATATCCAGTTTAGAGATGACGAAGCCAATATTAGAGACATGAAGGGACCTGCCAAAGGTCACATAATTAGATAATAGAATGGAGGAATAGCTGGGAAAGAAGAATGGAAATTGGGAAACCAATTCAGACTATTGAAAATCACCAGCTGAGAGGTGATGAGGGACAGAATGAAAGCAGGGGTAATGGCATTGGAGAGCAGGAAATATGCGGGATATTAGAGAGGTAGAATTACTAAGATTTAATAATTAATTAAATATCAGGCTCTAAAGTAGGAAGAAGTTTTGGCAAGTTCATCGAATGTGTGATGATTCTCTTCAAAAGAGATAACACAGATAAAGGAAGAGATTGAGGAGTTGGTAAATGTGAGGAATTCCGTTTTTAATATTATGAGATGAAATTTTCTTAGAAAATCCATGTGGAAATATGCAGTAAGCATTTAGATACATATGTCTAATATATATAAAAAAGGGCTAGGCTAGAGAAAGATATTTAAAATTCACCATTGTGTATCCCCTCACTGTAGTTAAAGCTATGATTGTGAATATATGGTATCAACTTCAAGATTATATGAAAATGTTCATAGGGTGAAAAGAAAAAGGAAATAGATATGATTTTTAAAATTTACTTAGTTAAAAGCTTAGAATTAAGGTGAGTCTCTATCCACAATTTCCATAATGTTTCTGAGCATTGTCTCATTAATTCCTTAAGAATTTAAAACATCTTTGCCTGAAAATTGTAAAATTTGCTGTCTAGTCAACAAATATTTCCATTAACACTATCCGTTTATGTAATAATGTACACTTGGATAGTGGCTGAGGTTGACAGTGGCCGTCTTATTTTCACATAATTGACCTAAACATTACACTAACCATCATGAGAGAAAGTAGCACATGTATAAATCAGAATCCAAAAACAGACACCAGTTTCACTAGTACTTTAAAAGTTCAGTACCCAGGCCCAAATGTATTGCTTAAATTTATCTTTTATCTTCCACAGTCAAATATTTCAAGAATAATTAAAATAATTTTATTGCTATTTAAATTCCCTTGCCCCTCTGTCTTCTATCGCTATTGTTTGGCAAAAACTTCTAATTAATTCAACTATGCCCTTAATCTGTGATTGCCTTGAGAATCTGAAAGCTGCTAGAGAATTACACCCACCATTGATTCATGATTGCCAAATTCAGATGGGCCTTCAGGAGTGTCTCTCAATCCTACTAAGTTGCGGGCGCCTGGGTGGCTCAGTTGGTTGGGCGATTGCCTTCGGCTTGGGTCATGATCCTGGAGTCCCTGGATCGAGTCCCGCATCAGGCTTCCTGCTCGGCGGAGAGTCTGCTTCTCCCTCTGACCCTCCCCCCTCTCATGTGCTCTCTCTGTCTCAAATAAATAAATAAATAAAATCTTTAAAAAAAAAAAATCCTACTAAGTTTCTGTGGATGGCTAATCTCCAAAAAAAATCTCTGCTTTCCTTAAACTGGACTGCCCCATCCAGTCACAAAAACTATATGTCATTAAATTCATCTTCCTACTAACAAAATTAAATCTAACTACATCTCCATCCATACTGTGCCTCCTCCTATTAGTATCAATCCTTCCATTTTTAACTCTTTCCTTTGGCCTTTACAGCACATTACACTGTTTCATACATAACCAGTACTATGTCTGTTAAACTAGTAATATTTTTATACTAACTGAATTTACTGATACAGTTGACATTGTTGACTACTTTTTTCTTTTATGAATATTTGTATTTAAAAAAATCATTATTGGGGCGCCTGGGTGGCTCAGTCGTTAAGCGTCTGCCTTCGGCTCAGGTCGTGATCCCAGGGTCCTGGGATCGAGGCCCGCATCGGGCTCCCTGCTCTGTGGGAAGCCTGCTTCTCCCTCTCCCACTCCCCCTGCTTGTGTTCCTGCTCTCGCTGTCTCTCTCTCTCTGTCAAATAAATAAATAAAATCTTTAAAAAAATTTAATTAATTAATTAATTAAAAAATCATTATTTGAGCAGTACTATATGAAAGGTTTAATAAAGCCAATAAAAATTAAAATGAACTGTTATATTAAGGTTAATATTTAAGTTAAAAAGAAATAGGTGGAAAACATTTTCTGAATTTAAATTAAATTATTCAATGACAGTTTTATTTAAGATTTTATAAGAAGATTTCGAAAAATCACATTTCTTCTTTCTGTGAATTATCTAAGGTTATTGTTTCCTTAGTGGTTATTTGTCTACTGTTTATTTTTTATTATAGTAAGACATTTATATCAAATGAATGTAACTTTTTAAATTCTTTTTTCTTTCATGAGGTTCTCATATAATACTAGAAAATATCTATGTTTCTTGTTTAATCAAGTTTAAATAATAATTATTGACTCCCTTGTACATATATATACGTGTATCTCTTCTGTCTTCCTCTAATTTATATTTATATAATAGATTTCCATTGCTTACCTTTTCAACTTTGATAATGTACTCAAATCTTTACTGTTCTCTTAACTCTTGAAAAATAATTCTTGACTTCCTATTACATGACATAAAGATATTTTTATCTCTACTTTTTCCTTCACCCTTTCTATACTACATTTATGTCCTTTTGTCTGCTACTTTTACTGTTACACTTTTATAAGTGTTCTAAACTTTCCCATGGACTAAAGCTGAAAATCAAATTTATAAATTATTACTATATAATTATCATTCAATATCATATTTTAAAGGTTTTTAAGCTATTTTTGGATGTGTACACTGTACTAGATGTGTTCTTAATAAGTGAAACTTTGAATATAACAAAGAAATAGGCTAGTAACATTATTAAGATTTTGATATGCTTTGAACGCAGTTTTTCTTTTTTTCAAAGATTTCATTTATTTATTTATTTGACAGAGAGAGAGAGAGCACAAGCAGGGGGAGCTGCAAGCGGAGGGAGCAGAGAGTCGGACATGGGGCTTGATCCCAGGACCCTGGGATCATGACCTGACCCGAAGGCAGACGCTTAACCAACTGAACCACCCAGGCACCCCAGTTTTCCTTTTTTTAAATATTGAATGTAGTTTTTTCTTAAAATTCTCCAAGATACAATTAATAGTTTTAATAATAGTGTTGAAATATAAACATGAGTCATCACAAAGCAAATGGTAAATGAAACCATTAGTATGGTTAAGAAAGTCCATGAAAAGAGTATGATATGAAGAGATGTGAGCTTAGGACCAAGTCTTGCATAATCCAAATTGCTTTGGAAGAGTAAAGAATAAAAATCCTACAAAAGATAATGAGAAGAAGTCAGAGACAGAATGGGAAAAACAGAAGTGTAGTATCAAGAAAGCCAATGGAAATGAGTATTTGAACAAGATGTTAGCATACAGCTCAGAATGGTGACTTGGTACATCTATTTGTTGCCTGTTCCCTTTCTAAGACGCTACAAGAAGAAATCCATATCATTAATGAGAATGCTGGAGGAGAGAAAGTATTTCATTAACAAATGAGACATTTTGATACATTTCTGGGAGAATAAAGGAGGATGTGAATTAAAGGATTAAATGGAAAAAACTAAAACTTAGAATAAAGTTTAAAGGATCTAAAGAAGGGGCTAAGGGCCATGTGCCTAGTGGAAGCCTGGAAAAGCTTTGAAATCAGTTAGCTGTGGAGGGGGGCATAAGACTGAGCAAAGAGGGATTAAAGGTATGTATGAGGAACAACTGTTTCAGTGAAATATTGGAATCCCACCCCTTCCCTATACTTACACGCAAAAAGAACAAAGGACAGATCTCTTAATAATATAAATGAACTTTTCATGGAAGATTAAAGTACTTAATATGATGATGATGCACAATATAAACCTTCTTTTTCTGGCATTTGGTGTCTGCAGCCTGAAAGCCAGTTCCTTGCCCTCACATCAAAGCAGGACTGTCACACTTCATCTAGCTATCCCCCACCCCTACCTCAGAAGGGAACCAATTCTATAGTTAACCCTCACCAATTTCCAAGCTTCTCAAACTACATTTATATGCAATCTAAGTTAACGGTTTTTATTAAAAATTACTTAGCTTACTGAATGGTTATAGAATTCATACCAGGATAATGTGTGAAAAATAGGAAACTTTTAATATTGCTCCA